CCCACATCCTTAACTATTTGCGAACAGTAATCTAATCTAGGTCTACCTCTACCCCTCCTAACTCGTGTTTCTGCCTCTAATATGTCTCTGACTAGACCTTCATGCCTAAGAAGGTGTCCTACCAATCTATCTCGCCTATTTTTTATTGACTTCCATAGAGTCCTCTGTTCTCTTATTCTCTCCAATACCTCTTCATTTCTAACCTTTTCTACTCACGATATCCTCATAATCCGCCTATAACACCAAATAGTAAATTAAATGAAAAAAAAAATACACAAAATTGTGTAATTATTTATCAACTATGGGGGTGATTATGATAAACCTTCAATTATTCTGGTTTCCGCTTAGTATCACATCCTGCGATATTATATACCTACATACGACAAATACATTTGGTATTTTTTAAACCAATTTATGAGTAGGTGTCGATAAAAAGTACCTGTTCAATGTTTTCTGTTTTAAATACGACCCTATTCGGTGCTTCAGTTTTCGATAGTCACGTACAGAGGTGCAACAAGGAGGGGTCCACGGGTGCCTAAGCACCCATTCGTCTGGTCCAATCGATTCAGTTAATAACCCAACTTGAAAGTTCGGTTCAAATAGTTCAAGCTCGTACACGAGCAGCCGAATCTTTACAGCTTATACACACCCGCAGTATATAAATATTTATTGTATTATGATGAAAGCACCCAGTCAAACTGTAACGTTGTTGCGCCCCTGGTCACGTGCACCGTATCTGCGTTTCTTTTAAACCGAGGTATCGATAGGAAGTACCTACTTCAAAGATGGGTTTTTATTTTGGGACAATTTATTCGCCTCATTTGTAAATGCGTCTTTAATTTTTTCAACTGTATGCAGTCTTGGACTTTCCATTTGCTCGTTCTAGCAGTAGCTTTATTTAAAATTCTAGATTATATACCCTAAATGCCCATATCAATAGCATTTTTCCGTTGAATATAAAATATACTGTTAATTAAACAACGTCTCTATTGACATATCTTATTATTAGTTTATCTTCTTCTCATGTACCGTATCTATTTTTTTCCTTTTCTTTTAGCTTAAATGTATATACTTTAGGTCATCATCATAAGGCCGTAAGGTTGATTGGACGCGCACCTCCACTCTTTCTTATCCTGAGCTAATCTTCGCATTTCCCTAAAACTAGAACAACCCACATCCTTAACTATTTGCGAACAGTAATCTAATCTAGGTCTACCTCTATCCCTCCTAATTTCCGTTTCTGCTTCTAATATGTCTCTAACTAGACCTTCATGCCTGAGAAGATGTCCTACTAACTTATCTCGCCTATTTCTTATTGACTTCCATAGAGTCCTCTGTTCACCGATTCTTTCTAATACCTCTTCGTTTCTAACCTCCTCTATTCACGGTATCCTTATTATTCGCCTGTAACGCCACATTTCGGACGCTTCTAACCTTTTCTTTTCCGCCGCGCCAGCTGCCCATGTTTCGCACCCGTACAGTGCCATGCTCCAAACATACACCTTTAACAACCTTTTTCAAATTTCAAAAATAACGATTCGCGAACATAGACGTGACTTCTTTTTATTGAAGGCGACACGACCCTGCGCTATCCTCTGCTTTATATCCCTACTACTCCTTCCGTCCTGACTTATCTGCCTTTCTAGATACCGAAAATCAGCCACTTCTTCTAATTTTTCGTCTCCTATCTTTATACTTGTAGGTAAAAACAAATTAATTAACCATTCAATTACATATCTTTTTCTGTTTTAACCTAACCTAACGTAACATTTCAACTATTTTCTCCTGTTTATACCATCAAAACAAAAATAATTATTTCGTCCTCTCATTCTTCCTTCCCTCTTTTTTTTAATTCTCTTCAACTTTTCTGTCCCATTGTTACTGTATCATCTACCATCTATTCGCATCCTTTTCTTATTTGTTCTCAACACATCCTACATAAATTCTACAAGTTCCTTTTACCTTTTCTACTAATATTTTCATTCCCTAATACATTCATTGCCCACTCTAAATCTTATTGTAATATCAGTTCCTTTTTTAACTTCCAAATCTTTCGAAATCAGAGCTCCTTGCCATGAAGCCTACAACTTATTTCAAACGGTTACATATATGTCGCTTCCCGTTACCTGGATGCGCCGTAACAAAATTCTAAATTGAATTATATTTTATTTCGTTCAAACTATTGTTGTCTTGTTCACGTCTAGTATGTACTATGTCTATTCGCGCAGCTTTCCTCAAGGTCACATCTCTATCCGTTTGAAACGAGTTGTACATTAATAACTGCGTATACTGAATCTTGTATTTTTCTCTAACTTTTTGCGTTTTACTATTTTCCCTAAATTCCTACCCGTTTCCCTCCACTCATCCATTTGCTTTTGCACTATTTTTATTTCTCTTATTTTTTATCACTTTTCCTGTTTTCCCTTCTTCTAGCCTTTCCAATTTTCTATCACAATTTATCACTATTTTTAGTCTTTTCTCTTTTATATTCAGTCTGTTTTGAAAGTGAAAGGACTATAGGTTAAGTGCAATTGACTTTCTATTTTTCTTGGAACTACATTAGTGTTTTCGTCTATAAATATTTATTAATACTGTAATTTCTTGTTTTATTCGTTAATAAGTTTATTTTAGCAAGAGGTAAGGGATTCCATTGCGGGGGCGTCCTTATCAGCAACAGATACGTGCTAACAGCGGCTCATTGTGTTAAAGGAAAAGATTTACCAAGAACATGGACTCTGTAAGACGTTTTCGTTGTTTTTTTTTTTGGTCTTTTCCATTTACATTTCGTTATTTAACAGTTCTAGTGTCCGCCTAGGAGAATACAATACCGAGACAGAGGAAGATTGTGTCACAAGTGGTAATGGGTACAAATGGTGTTCAGACAAGCCCATCGATATTCCAGTTGAAGAAAGAATTGCCCACGAAAAGTATCAGCCTAGGGATCCTAATCAGTATAACGATATAGCTCTGTTGAGGTTATCACGAGCTGTTAATTTTACCGGTAAGGAGAAATTAATTAATGTATTGATGTATTTTTAAGCAAGTCTTTGTTTTGACATTACTGCCCCAATTGCTTCTTTTTTTTCGATAGCACTAAAATAGTGTCAAAATTTGTTGAGTAGTTCTCGAGTTATAAACAAAAAAGATTTAAAAAAAATCGGTTGTCTGTAAGGTCGGTTTACTGACGATAGTTGAACGTGACAACGTCATAAGAAAATACTGATGGAATGGTTTCATTTTTCAAAAGAAAATTTTAATTTTATTTGTTTGATAGATATTTTGTATGGATATAGAGAAGGAGGTAAA